CTTTGTTGCACTCAGTAGGGTGCTATAATGTCATAGCTCACAGCAACCTCAAACTCTTGGGCTGAAGTGGTTTTCCTGCCTCAGCCTCCCCAGTAGCTGAGGCTACAGGCACCTGCCACAATGCCCACTTCCTGTTTTTGTTTGTTTGTTTAAGACATGGGGTCTCACTCTTTCTCAAGCTGGTCTCAAAATCCTGAGCTTGAGCACTCTACCTGCCTTGGCCTAGCAGGTGTGAGCCCCTGCACCCAGCATGTCTGAGGATTTTTATAAAGGCAAAGGAATTCCCCAGTCTGTGCTCTGTGCCCAGCCTGCAGTCACTGCTCACTCAGTAGCAGACTGAATGGTGGATCTGGCTGGTAGTGGTATCCCTTCTGTGAGCAGGAGTTGTGGGATGGGTTCCTGTTGAACCTATTTGATGTCTGCCTCCTGACTCATGCTACCTCCTTACCTTCTCTTCCGTCTTTTTAGAAAGGATTTGGCTATAAAAACAGCAAATTCCATCGTATAATCAAGGACTTCATGATCCAGGGCGGAGATTTCACCAGGGGAGATGGCACCGGAGGTAACCTGGGCCTCTGGGCAAGACATGGGTCTGTGTAGGCCCCACGGTGGGAGGGCCAGTCTGAGTGGATTAGACAGAGTCAGGCCTATTACCTGCTTTGAGACCAACTACACCCTCTATAGAGGGAACCCGGTACAAAGGAGGAATAGTGGACCTTATGGTAGACCTAAGAAGACCTCTCCCAGGTGGCAGACCTGTGGTGCAGGATTTATATCCTGGTGATCTTCTCCCATACTTATTTGTGGTGAGAGTTGGGGGAGGTGGCATATGTGGAAGCACAGTGAAGATACAGGTAGGCAATTGTAGGTCAGGAATGTAAGGCCTGTGTAGATCACCTTGGAAGCCCCAGCAAGAGTGAGAGAAGTTGCTTTTTTTGGCAGATCCCACCAGACTCTACTCTGCAAGGGCCAAGTCTCACCTCTGCATTAATTTGTCCACATAGGACAGAAAGACAGATACTCCAGACTAATCCCACTGAGTTTGGGTGCACAGCCTGCTGTTACCTCAGACCAGTGCTGAGATTGGAGGACAGCTCACTCCATCAATGAGTATTTACTGGGGCTCGGTGCCTATAGCTCAACCGGCTAAGGCGCCAGCCACGTACACCTAAGGTGGCGGGTT